TGACCAGAAAAGTTCAATCTATGTAAATACATCTAACTTTTAAATGCCTTAATTAACTACAACGCATTAACACGATATTAACTGCAGTATCAATCAAGACATTAGTTGTCTTGACCGCTGCTCTTCCGAGCTAGAAGGTCTACCAAGTTGCTTGAGCTCCTCCTTACTAGGCTGGTAGGCCAGCTCCTTGTTGGGCTAGTGGATGGCTCCCTGGTCTGGTAGTAGGTTGGCTCCCTGGGCTGGTGGATGGCTCTATGCTAGACTATTAGGTTGGCTCCCTACCAGGCTAGTGGACGCCTCTCTGCTGGACCATTAAGTGGACATTATCCCATTCCTGGGCCATTAGGTCAGTTCCCTTCCAGACTAGTGACGGCTCACTGTTGAGCTTTAAGTTGGGCCGATTCGAACATCTTAGTTATTGAATCCATCGGTCCAGCTGGCTGGTGAAACACTGATCTCGGGCTTGGATTCGCAGGTCCAAATTTTGAGTATGGACTTGGTAAACTTTGGGCCTACTCCCATTGCTCTTTTAGTGGGAGGTGAGGTTGTGATCTTGGCAACAAATGAATGAAATTATGGTCTGTCAACAATTAAGTTGGATGGAATATGATGTGGTGATCATTTAAATTGTTATGGTGATACCTTATTATTCCAATCACTTGGTGGGATTAAATGCATTAAATCCAAAAGTAAATATACAAACAGTATTGTAGAGGACTAGATGCAATTGGGCAAGTTGGAGGACATGTGGATATCACATATTCCATTATCATCTCTCTTAGTAATCAAATCATGCTAAAGAAGTTGGGTGATTCAAACAAGGACTTTGAGTTTGATTTGATTTTGCAGCATTCTATGGGAGGAATCTAGCAAAAATTAGACAATAAAATCTCAAAGTGCCACACAATATGAAAACATCCATGGCCACATAAATTACTGTCCCCCACTCACAGCTAGCTTACTTCACAACTTCGCAAAGTCTAAATTTCAAATAATTAAAATTGCTTAAGTGGTGGGCTTTCACATTTAAATTTGATGTTTTGTAGCCTTATATGCACACCACATCCCTATATAGGATAATAATAATGATGATGCCTCCATATTATTGCGCATCTAAAATTAAACTCGACCCTCCCATTTTTGCTTTTTATTTTCATTTTTATTCTTCACGAGATCTTCTATCTGGTGTTTAAAGGGAAGAAATTAAATACGATATAATTATTGTTGTTTCTAAATAAACACGACGCATGTAAAATCAGTCATCATGAGCATAATAAAAGCAAAAACAGAAATGAGCCACAACATCATATTAAAGAAAAAGTACTTTACTATCCATTTTATATACTACTCCTTAAGTCCTTAGTACATAAAGTGTACTCCCTCCGTCCCATATTTAACTCCGGTTTTGACCGGGCACGGGTTTTAAGATAGTGGGATTTGTGTGGTGAAGAGTTATGCAGAGGAGAGAGAAATGTGTAAGAATGATTGTGAATCACATATTCTTTACCAAAAAAGGGAAAAGGAGATAAATTTGGGACGGACCGAAAAAGGAAAGAATGAAGATAATTCCGGGACGGAGGGAGTATATAATTACTCAGGTAACGCTACGAGACAAAACCAAATTTTCCATTTAATTTGCATAATATTTGATTTAATACTTCACAAGCCCCCTTCAAATGTTTGTTTTGAATTGTAGTTTTCTCATCTAGTGTGATCTGATTAGATTTGATCTGATTTTATTCATTTAAGTTTGAATTGATTTGAACTAGTAAATGTATGTTTCTACGTACTACATAAGTCCTTTAAAACTTTGTCAAGTTTGACTGGCACGGAAAATTATAAAGTCAAAACTGTGTGGTTAAGGTTTACGTAGAGGAGAGAGAAATAACATAAATCATAAAATAATTGATTAATAGAGAAAATGAAAAGGTTTTTTGGGAGGTAAAAAAAAGGAAAGATGACAAATTGAAAAACATGCGAGGTATGAAATTACACATGTAGCCGACATAATTGAATTAGGATTAAGGATGTTATTTGGTACGGAGTATGTTTTTTGTATTAAAATAAGAAACATAACTTCTTTGGAACTACACAGCCGATCAAATCGTATCCCTGGGGTTCCTCTGCCCTTTTACCTACAATCTAAAAGGCCTTCCAAATCCATATGATAAAATTGCGATCTTCAGCATTTTTTTCATGCTTATATATTGTTTCTCAAATAAATAAAGTTTCATTCATTTTTTATTTCTCATAGTTTATTGGGTGAATTCCCTAAATAGGAGTAAAAAAAATTTGAAATTTCAAAATAGGAGTAACATGTTTTTAAGTCCTTGAATAAGAGTAAATTTTTGCCAAATTTGGCATTACTAGGCTTTAAAACATGACATTTTCCCCCAAACTTAGCAGATTACTCCTATTCAGGGAATAAAAAACTAGTGATATCCCCCTATCATTAAGGCTCACATTGCAGTTACGCTATTTAACATAGACAATTTTTTTTTGGAAGATTGGTGAGTTAAATTGATATCACAGCATTCAGATAGGGAACAAACAAATAAAAGAACCACTCCCAACTTCCAACCCTCGAATCAGACCTAGAATCAATCACATTCCAAAAAACAATATGACTCGCTTATCCTGTAAACATAGACAATATTTAAAAATAGGATTAAATATGTTTTCTTTTTAAAAAAAAATATTAGTCTTATTAAAAATAAGAATAAAAAGTTCTCAAAATATGACGCCATGAGTCCTACTATAGGAAGAAAATAATACGGAGTAGTACTTCTATTTGAGAAAATTTGCAATTTTTTTACTCTTATTTAGGGATATTTTATATTAAGAAAATAATAGTACTTCAATTTGAAAAAAATTGGCAAGTTTTTTACCCCTATTTATGGATATTTTTTGAAAAATTATAAGACACACCTAGTTGTAATTACTAATTTTGCCTTCAATATATATTTTAATGTTATTTGATAGTTGCGGGCTCATCGCATAACTACAAAGGGCATATTTGATCGTGATTAGACTTTTTGCATGCTCTTTTTTATTCATGACCATACTCTATGGGTGGACTCGGGCGGGTGGCCCGACCCGGAACCGGCCCGGGACCGCTAATGTTCCGACCCGGTCCGAACCGGTTGCCCGGCCAGGGACCGGTCCGGGTAGGCCCGGCCCGGTGATTTTACGATGCGGGCTCGGGTCCCCCAAATGATGAACCGGCCGGCACGGCCGGGACCAGTTCCGGGCCATTTTCTTTTTTTTTCAATTTTTTTAATTTTTCTGGTTGGGCTGGGTGTTTTGGCCCATTTGGGGTGATTTGGGGGATGGGGTGAGGGGGGGATTAGGGGATTAATTAGAAAAAATAGGAAGTGGCCCGAGGCCCGGCCCGGACTGATCCGGACCCGCTGGCCACCCAGGTCGGTTCCAGTTCACACATTTTCAAATAAAAGCTCGGTCGGGCCCAGGCCCGAACCAGAACCGGCCCGGCCCGAGTCCACCCTTACCATACTCCCGTAGCCCACCCCAATGTTATTTGATAGTTGCCGGTCCACATTTTCCTCAGCCCGTAACTCACTCCAATTACTCCCGGTTCGGGCCTCCAATCTCGATCCCAGTACCAGCTGACCGAGCCGGGTCAGGCTTGCACAGTACTAAGCTGGACCAGGTCGGGTCCCAGATTGGGCCGACCCATCCCAACCCATCCCTATATGTGCATAATAGGATTCATGAGTTTTTTTACATTGAGCATATGGTATATCATGTGAATGTCCTTATACATATGATGCCTATTGGGCTAGATATGCATATTTCTTTCCCAAAAAAGATGCCTACTGGGCTAGATTTGGCATTGGGCCATGACAGCTTTGTTTAGAGAAAGTTTATTGGGTTGTACATGACTTTGGCATGCATGAAATTTTAGACAAGTAAAAATCTCTTTGTGCACATTTTGTGTACATTTTTTTGTACACTCCTATCTTATCTGTGTACACATGCAATTCGTAAAGAATGCAAAATTTTGAAAACTATCTATGTACACAGACAAGTGTATGAAACATGTACAAAAAATGTGTGCACCAACCAAAACCCTTTCGAACATAGCTATAAAGTATGAATATCGCGTGTGAGTTGACATGGAATGATGGAAGTAGGGATGGACTCGGGACGGGTTAACCGGTCCGTAACTGGCCCGGGCCCGATGCTGTTTCGGCCCGGCCCAGCCCGGTACACGGCACTCTTTCGACCCGACCCGGTACCCGAGTCATAATCCAATTCGAGCCACCCGGCCCGGTACAATTTCGGGGCAGTTACGGGCCTCACAAACAATGAACCGGCCTGACCGGGCCAGGCCCGGGCCATTTTTTTTTTGTTTTTCAAAATTTAAAAAATGTATATGGGTTGGGCTGGGTGTTTTAGATGGGTTTGGAGTGTGGGGGGGTAGGAAGTAATTATAAAATCAAAAAAAGTAGCCGGCCCGGCTCGGCCCGGCCCAAACCGGACCCGGTAGCTACCCGGGCCGGTTCCGGCCTTCCGGGCCTCAAGAATCCAGAAAAAAGCCCGGTCAGACCCGGCCCGAGTCCATGCCTACTTGGAAGTTAATGCATGGGAGTAATAATGAAATAATTGAGTAGTTACCACGGGGGACATGCTTTTTGACATTTAAAAGAGATGCATCTATGCGTCCACCTTCAGCACACTGAATTCCACAATTGACTGTCGCATTAGAATACAACTTTAAGTCAACAAAATCATTCTCTTAGAGGCTTAGAGTAGTTCATTAACTAATGGTCTATAAAGTATAAAGCACCCCATGTTAGAGACAGATTAGGGGGTGAGCGGGGCCAAACAGAGCCATGTACAAGATTAGTCCAGGTCAAGCCAAGAAAGAAAAAAACAGTCGGCAAAGGAAAACCCAGCGGCCAGCGCCAAGGAAGAAGCTGCAACTAGAGAATTTCTAGAACAAAGAAATTAAACATTGAAAACGTATGGTTCGTAGAATGAAAGAAAGAATATACTTACTAGCATATAATATAATTAGATGATAATGTATTATGGCGTATAACTTTAGCAAGACTTAGACTAGCATCAAAAGTAAGTAGGCGTATTAATTATCATCTTGCATATTCATGAATTGAAATTGACACTATTCATAAATTATGATTCTCACACTTTTCAATCATTCTAGACTCTGCACAGATGATAGTATGCCAAGATAACTAAGCACCTATAGATGAGGTTCCTTTGCCTTCCTCAACGAATATACCTATTGTTTTGAACCAGCGCATGAGATTCCGGTGGTCCTTCACATATAGCCAAGCTTGCAGGAACGGGAATAAGCTCTCGCTGATTCCACGCTCCTCAATGTAGGCGTGGAGGGCGTCTCTAGTTCTTTCTTCAACATCTCTGCAAATGCCCAAATGAAAATCTATGAGAACCACACAACAAAAGAGGTAAGAAAGCTTTAGCAAAAGTGACAATGCATGAATAACTTGAGGTTGGGATTTGAAATACTTGACATCCCAAAAACATTGACTTTACATGGCATTGAATTTACTTGAAAATTCCACTTTTGATCCCACCACTATTAGACTATATCCACTTTTGGTAGCGGGCTTTAGTTTTTTGCACTGTTAGTGCATGACTATGAAAACTCTGCAATGTGATTATTTTTTGGTATCATGCCTGTTTCAAGCCAGAATAAAGCAGGAGAGTGTTGTGATAGGCGCGTGACGGCCAACAATATCACCTAGTCATATCATATGACATGAATTGAAACATGAATATCATTACAGTTGGGCATTGCCCGTAAGCAACGTGTCATCCCTCCGCCTGGTAGTGGTGTCAAATATGCAAGGGCGTGCAACACTTCATAGGTCTGGTTGTGGTGATAAGAATGTTAAGGTTTTGAAAGTATCCATGGCGGACATGGTTTTGAGACTAGAAATGAAGCGGGGAAGAACATTCTGGATTTTGCTTTAACATATGAGCTGACTGTAATGTGTTCTTGATTCAAGAAAAGAGACTCTTATCTTGTGATGTATAGAAGTGGAGCTACTAATACCCAAAGTGACTACTTCTTAGTACAGATGACTTGGAGAACTAGCATTGTAAGGTTATCCCAGGTGATAATGTTGTCACTCAACATAAGATGTTTGTGCTCGATTTTCAATGTAAGTAGAGAAGGCGGGTTAAGCAACAAGTGGAGCCAAAGATAAAGTGGTGGAGACTCGAGGGGGATCACCAACAAAGTTTTGTACACAAAATGTTGGATGAAGATGTATGGTGTATTGATAATGACAAACATGTGTATGATGTGTGGTTATTAATGGATTCGACGATTAGCAAAGTGGCGAAGGTGATACTCAGAGAATCTAAAAAATGTCTGCCACCTAAAAAGGAAAGTAGGACACATCTTGATAGAATGATGAGGTGAAACAAGCAATAAGGACTAAAAGGGAATGCTACAAGAAATTGGGCAGAAGTTGGATAAATGAGAACATAGAGGAGTACAAAGAGGCTAAAAGAAAAGCAAAGAAAGCTGTAAAGGAAGCAAGAAGGAAAGTGAACAAGGAGTTGTATTTGTATGTAAGATTGGATTTTAAGGAAGGAGAAAAAGATGTTCATAGACTTGTTCGTCTTCATGATCGTAGGACTCAAGATATCGGAAAAGTTAAGTGTGTGAAGGATGTCAATCAAAGGGTGCTATGGAGGACGATGAAATGAAAGAGAGGTGGAGGTCATACGTTCAACGAGAATAAAGTGCAAGGTATTGATGATCTTACTATACCAGATTGCATGATAAATCGGGATTTTGTGAGAAGGATCCAAATGTCAGAAGTTAAAAAGAGGCTTTGAGAAAGACGGGGTGGAAGAAAGCAGTGGGAAAAAAGGGAAGAAAGGACTGGGTACAGACTCCAGATGGCATACCAATCGAGGCCTGGAGAAGTTTGGGATCGAGAGGCATCGAGTGGCTAACACATTTGTTCAACATGATTTGGAGAAACAATAAAATGTCAGTGAGTTGGCGGAAGAGTACTCTTATCCCCTATTTAAAAATAAGGGTGATGTACGAGAATGTGCCAACTATCGAGGGATAAAGTTTATGAGTCACACCATGAAACTTTGGGAGCCAGTAGTTGAGCAAAGACTCCGAAAAAATGTGAAAATTTCGGAAAATCAGTTTGATTTTATGCTTGAACGCTCAACAACTGAGGTTATTCACCTTCTTAGACAAGTTGTGGAGAAGTATAGAGACCCTGAAAAGGATCTACATTTGGTGTTCATTTACTTAGAAACGGCATATGATATGATACATCGAGAAGTCCTATGGTGGGCCTAGACTAGAAAAGGCGTATCACGTAAGTATATTAATACCATCATTTGCAATGGAGCCAAAGATTCATTATTTTTTGGCTTGAGATTGTGATGGAATAAAGCAAAATGGCTCACTAAATTGTCTGCGCTTCTTTGTTATGAAACAGCAGTCAGTCCATGCAATTTTGGATGGGATTTTCACTATGGGTCATCCGGAAACAGTCTCTCTGTGCTTTAGTACAAGGGTAAGACTGCGTACATCCGACCCCCCCTTACCCCACCGTAGGTGGGAGCCTTTGTGGCACTGGGGTAAATGAAAAAAAAAATGTATGAGGCTTGTACTAAAGTGTCCGTATTAGTGTAGGGAGGACTGTAGAGTTACCTATTACTATCGGAGTGCACCAAGGATTGACTCTGAGTCTTTTTATTTTCTATAGTCATGGATGAACCTACAAAGTTAATTCAAGAAGATATATCGTGGTGCTTGATGTTTGTCGACGATATTGTATTGATGATGAGACATTATCGGGGGTTAAAGCACAGTTGGAAGTATGACGACAAACTTTGGAGACCAAGGGTTTCAGACTCAATCGAAGTAAGACTGAGTATATGGAGTGCAAGTTTGGTGGAGGTAGAAGTAGTAGTAATAGTGGGATTACCCTTGATGGCAAGGAGGTACCGGTGTGTGATGTGGTCTATTATTTGGGCTTTATAATTCAGAAAGATAGAGAATTAGATGGAGATGTATCCCATAAGATCAGAGCAAGGTAGATGAAGTGGAAGAGTGCATCAGGATTTCTATGTGATCAAGGTATGCCGACTGAACTAAAACAAACCTACCTGAGTATGTTACATGTGACTTTTTGAACATAAAAACAAACATCGGCTAATAAAACCAAGAAACGACTATGTATCTGCGTGAGAGGTGTGCGACCAATGTTGACGGAGAGGCCTGATAGCAGCGACCACCCAGCGACTATCCAACGACCACCAACCTAGCGGTAACCACCCAGCACCCATCCAACCACCGCCTAGCGACCGGAAACCACCCAGGCAACCACCCTCACAGATAAAAACAAGTAATTCCTCCCAGAAATTAATTTCAGAGTTTCAACTTATAACTCTGTTTAAATATGTGTGGTTGTGTTCTTTACCATATTTCGTATGATGTATCATGTATGTTATTGGATTTTCTTTTGTTTTTGTATGTTACGGTCTTATGGACATATTAATAATTATTATATACCCCGTATTATGTATGTTTTTGTATATGTTTTGTATAAGTGCACTTATGCACTTATGTATGTTTCGTATATGTACATATTTGTTATGTTATCTGTATAATAAACACATATTATTATGTACTCCTTATGTTTTAGTGTATTTATGATGTACTACGTATGTTATATTGTTATGACTTGTGCATATGTATACCTCTGTTATACTATTATGCATTAATGTATGTTATGATATTATACTATTACTATATATGTAGTATATTGTTATGCATACATATACCAATATATTGTATGTTATATTGAGCATTTAATATATTTATTATGTATACGAAATTTGTATTATATAACTATGGTTTTGTGAAGGCAATATGTACAAATTATTTAATTCGATTTGGGTTATTTTTGGTACTATTTTGGTTATTTAACAATTTAAATCTTTAACCGGTGGTTAAGTCATACACGTATATTGTCTATAGATTATGTTTAAACTTTTTTGATGTTGTGTTTTACTGGTGCACCATTTTTGCGCAATCAACAGCCGCGTGAAATTACCCCCACGCCATGTCGGTCGCCGTGCGTCGTGACTACTATATATGTCTTCTTAAGGATAAAGATAGGCATCTTATCAAGACACGCTCACTACAAAATAGTCAATATTTGAATATTACGCTGGTCAGGGAGGTTTAGGCGGAGCATTGGGGGAGGATTATGGTGGGACTAAAGCGGGGATTTATAGACCAAGCTATAAAAAATGGATTACAGAGAGTGATGATTCGTGAAGAACAGTTCCTAGTGTAGGATGTTTGAGATTTATTGGAATATAGTGTTATACTCCATAACTTTTAATGAGGAAACTCTATTTGAAAGCTTCTCTTTAAGAGTGACAGTTTGAGAAGAGCGGTTACTTGTATACTCACTTATACTCCATTTGATGGAATGATACTACACATAACTGAATGAAACAAGAAAAATTATAGGGCTTATAGATTTCATGGACAACTTTCATGTCTAGAGAAAGAGACAAAGGTAAAAACTAGTAAACCTATAAAGCCTAGAAGAACGCATGGGCATAACAGTTTTCCTCTAGTTCGGAGCTGTGACTTAGGATAGTTCTAGAGTGTAAATGAAGATAAAAAATAATTATAAACAGCTCATAGTGAAAAATAAGCATATCGGTCTGGAACTTACTCAAACGATGGACCCCCATACTTATTTGAGGCTTCAAGAAACCCAGCATCATCCCTAGCTCTCAACGAGACCGAGTGGATTCCCAAAGCATCGGGATAAAGGCCACACAGAAAATGAAGAGACTCCCTTTGATCAGGCTTAGATATGTCAACATGAAGAAACAGTTGATTCATGCCACCATCATCGTCATTGGTGTCCCCTCCTCCGGGTATAATATTAGCCAAACGCATTACAGAGATAGAAATATCCTCATTTTCATATGTCCGTTTCAGAACAGGACCACTACCATCAAGTGCTCCCTTCACCACTGTGAATGGAGAAGGAGGACTAATTTTCTGTCAACCATGATGTGGAGTTGGTCATCAAGATATGTTCAGATTCATTAATATTTAAAACAAAACAAAAAATCCATAAATGCTTCTGGATAAACCCACAATTGGATAGTTATTAGCACTTTATGCAAATCAAGACCTTATTGAACGTAATGCTGCATGAATTTGGATTGAAGTAGGAGTTGTGGGACTACAAAAGTAATTCCATTTGCTTTAGTGTGAGGAACATAGGGTGAATATTTGCTATAAATAAATTTTGATTTACATGTAATTGGGTAGTATTCGAAATACAACTCTCACATATTTCAGATAAACTACATAACTTTGAATAACACAGACATAGAAGAATAATACATGTTCTCATGTATATTAACTGCCTAGGTAGGTAACTGAACTGCAATTCTCTTGATCCAAACTATGTTGAAATCGACATAAAACTTATAGTATCAAATTTTAAATGAAGCCCACTAAACCCCTCTAAAACCTCAACCCTGTGCTTAAATTAACAAAGCCGCAGGAAAACCGTTCTTATTCATGTAAACGCCCGCACGAAAGCTTATACTACCTCGAGAACAATTAGAAACGGAGAATCATAAAAAAGAAAAGAAACGAAAACCCTAGTTTCACAAATCTCAAATGGATGCATTATGAACTATATTCTCTAAAATATCGTATAGGACGGTAGAGAGTTTTACCGGGGGAGGGGTCATTTTGGAGACTTCGAGATAGTGGTCTTTGAGGGAGCGGAGAATAACTCTGTTTACAGTGGCTATAGTGGCGGCAACTTGAGAAGACCGTGATGTCGACGTTGAATGTTGCACACCACGCATGTTCCACGAGTGCCGTTGCCGGAGCGCACCGGCGGCCCGTGTTAGTGTTCGACACAACATATTCCGACGTTCTGGTGCGTAAACGTGCCGGAGTGTTGGGAAATACAAAAAATCATAATTTTATTTATAATAAAAAATAAAAAATTGTAAAAATATTTATAAATTAATAAAAAATAGGGAAATAATAAAATAAAATATCTAAAAATATATTAAAATTTGTAGGCCACTACCTCTGCATCCTCCACCATCCAGCACCACCACCTCCGATCGCCGGAAAAAAATGCCACATTTCTACGAAAATGTTATAAAGATGTCATTTTTACTCTTTGAAAATATTCAGTTTTTTTCAAAATTGCTATCACGATGACATTTTTCTCAACGTGGCAATATTTTTCCGGCGACCGGAGGTGACGGTGCTGAAAGGTGGCTGAGGTGGTGGTTGAGGTCTGTATAGTTTTTTATTTATTTTTTACGATTTTTATTTTAATTTTTTATGTTTAATAATGATTATTTAAAAAAACTATTAGAGGAAGGACAGGGGAAAGGGTAGAATAGGAAGAGTTAGTCATATTTTGAGAATTTAAACATTAAACTCCTATTGTTGTAATTATTCTTTTATTTAGTCTTATTTAGGGAAGTCTCCCTAAAAAGTACAATTGCAATAATATGAGTATCAAGTAAAAAAAAGACAATCGTGTGAAAAGGTGTTTAAAGAGGCAGCCATTTTAATTATGGGTCACCACAATAAACCCTACCAAGAGAAACAAAGTTAGAGATGGACCCAGGTCGGGTCCGAGCCCACTAGTACTAGAAAATTGGAGCTTGGTACCGGCTTGGTATGCTCCGATACTAGTCCCGGTCTGAGCCTAACAATATCGAGCTCGGGTCGGACTCGAGTCGGTACCCACCCATTTAATAAAAAAGAAAAAAATAGTCGTTGGTCACGAACCGGGGTGGGCTGGAAAAATCAAGTCCGAAGCCCGCGCCTTATAACCACCGGTTCAAGTACCTGGCCGGTACCAACAATACTGGTTCCCGATCGGGCCGCTCGGGCCCAATCCATCTCTAAGCAAAACGGTTGATGACAATAAAGAACAAATTTTGGATCCAAAATGTATAAAACGCAAAGGTGCTCCAAGAAAAAATAATCAAAAGGAACTACTCGAAAAGGGAAGCAAAAAACAAAAGGTTGGTAAATATTTTTCGGACACAAGTTATTCGTACACAGACAATTAAGCATCCTTGCACAACCATTGGTTGTCCGTTTACAAACATTAATTATTCGTGGACAACTATTATTTAGCTATGCTTGGATGATTAAGAATCTTTGCACACATACTGATTGTTTGTGTACAGACAATACATGTCCGCGTACAACTATTATTTGTCTGTGCATAAACAATTAACGATCCATGCACAAGTTGTAATTGTCTGTGCACAGACATTCATCCTCCCTGCACAAGAATTAGATATATGTGCCTATACAACGAACATTTGTCTACCTTTATGTGGTGCAAAATGTAAGTTGTTCTATTTACTCAACTAATACTACCTCAGTCCCAGTGCACTTTGCCAAGTTCAAAGTATGTGAGAAATAAGAAGAGTAAAAATTGTGTGATTGAGGATTTGAGGTTTGTACAAAGGAGAGAGAATTGAGCAGAACCACAAATTAGTTTCTTTAATAGAAAAGTGACAAAAATTTTTGGGACAACCAAAAAAGGAAAGTTTTTTATGTCAGTATTCACAGGGAAATAATATTGTGCTTCGCACATGTCGTGACCTTCAATGCAATTTGAATGATGGTGATGACCATCAAATTATTTGAACATAAACGTCATATCCTCCACTTTGCCCCTATAACATTAGCATCATGTTACACAAACATATATACAAGTGTTAGCAACAAGTAAAAGAAATTACTTTGTACATGAAACCAGAAAGCTTTTTACTTGGTCTGTAATTTGCTGGTCTAGTCTGGTCTGATTTCTTTGTATTTTATAACTATCTAAGTCTGGTGTGGTCTGGTATGGGAGGAATTACAGTCCAAGTAAAAACATCCTTATTGTATATATCACAATTTTAATCTGATTACCCTCTTCATGAACATCACCATTTTAACCATCGGGGCTACACAAGCGAACTTATAAATTGTAATCATCATAAAAAATTATAATCACACCCTTATGTGCCTAGCGCGTTTCGAACTCGAGACCTCCCACTAGGCACGGTAACCTCACAACCAGCTAGGTTGGAATGCTTGGTTAAGGGAACTCCTTTCAAATCAAATATGTGTGCATATTGCTTTCCGAATAAAAGGACCGGAAATACTAAAGAGCATATAAACCATTGCAAATCTTGATCCAACATATTTAAGGAGATCTAAGCTTAATGGGAATAATCAATCTTCAAAAATAAAGACACAACAAAGAAGAACTCGGCCAACAAGGAAAGTTCTTAATGACCTAGAGATGAGTGCGTTTGAACCGAAAAGAAAATAATCAGAGAAGAAGATTTATACAATTATACACAAGGATGCCCTAGAAGACCGAGTACCAGTGACAGTTCATTTAGCAGTTATATTCATTATTCTTTAATATTATTGTTATTGAGGTTAAAAGGAACATTTGAGAATGCTTTCCTCCCATGTATGGGTGGACTCGGGCCAGGCCGGGTCCGGATCGGGCCTAGGCCGGACCGGGTCCGGGTCGAGCCTAGGCCCGGGCGGGCCGCCGGTTCAGAATAGTTGGGCACGGGACCGACCCGGGTAGCCACCGGGTCGGGCCTCGGGCCACTTCCTTTTTTTCTAATTAATCCCCTAATACCCCCCCCCCCACCCCCACCCCCCTCACCCCCACCCCCCTCACCACCCCAAATGGCCCAAAACATCCAACCCAACCGTGAAAAATAAAAAATTGAAAAAATAAAAAAAATAAAAGGCCCGGAACCGGGCCCGGCCCGGCCGGGCTGGTTCATCATTTGGCGGACCCGAGCCCGCACTGTAAAACCACCGGGTCGAGCCTACCCAGACCGGTCCCTGGTCGGGCCTACCCGGACCGATCCCTAGCCGGACCACCAGGCCGGGCCGGAATAGTACCGATCCCGGGCCGGTTCCGGGTCGGGCCACCCGGCCCGAGTCCACCTCTACTCCCATGGTTGAAGTGTGAAGTGAGAACTTTGTTGTATAGCTAAGAGACTCTTTACCCACAAGGTAAGGTAGTGAGAACTCTATCTAAAGAGGCTAGAGTTGGGGTGACTCAAGGGTAAACTATGAGTCTTTATTTTGTAATTTATTTAAAGGCTTTTGGTGAAGAGTTTTTTCATATTCCTCCACGGAGGTCGAGGTTTTTTAATACTTATTGAGCCAAAGGATTTTTCAAGTTAAATTTTGTGTGTTTAATTTTAGTATTTCCTTGCCCCCATGCTAGAATTTGGTGAAAATTTGTCATAGTTAAGTTCTACGCACACACGATCTACCTCTCCCTCAGGCATCTGATGTATTCGTTTTTTTTCTTTTTTACCTTCACATATATTTTTCTATATAGGTAATAGAAAACTATGGTCACAAAATACGTCTCTCATCAGTATAATCCTATAAAAGAAACTCGATGCTAAAAAATTGAAGGCTAAAATTAAGGAATCACATAACAAGCAAACCATTGCAAGCATCAAAATCCAAAGAGATTTATAACTAGGTAAAGAGATCAAAATTTAAGCAAAGTATGATGAACCAGCCAAAACAAGTGCACTACACCACGTGGTACATTATACTAAGAAAAAATTATGGGATTGAATTTGTCTAGAAATTAGAGAAATCATATGAACCGCATTCTACATTTTCTAAAGGAATGTGGGATAGTTTTGATTCTTTGAAATGAAAAAAAAAGTGTAATTCACTTGAAAAAATAGTTTAGTGGGTAAAGAGCAGTAGGATGTGATAATTTTCATTTTAATAATATCAACAAAATTTTAACAGAATTTTGTTTCCTCATTTTAGTGGATCACATCAATATTCTTCTTTTCAGCAACTTTCTTCAACATATAGAGCCTTGGTTTTTACGTGTGCCATGAACTACATCAATGTACTCTTTTTAAGTCCGCAATAAACACCAGGCAATTTTCCATTGATTGATAGTTTAGGCAATATGAGAGAAGATATAGAACATTGGAACTGAAAACTACGACAAAACACTTGGCATTGTTTGCCAGATATCTATGCCTTAATGCGACCCTGATGTACAAACACAATTGTTGATATATGGGGAACAACAAGGATGGAGAAGGCCAAACGAGGAACACAACCTCTTCAAATCTAAACTCTTATTGCGTCTCGAAATCTGATGCTGAAAGTTTTCTCTGGACCACTCCTTCCTGTGCCCATAACTGGGTTTCCTTTTTGCATCATGGCGACGAATTCGTTGTAATCTATGCATCCATCCTGAAACGTTGAAAGACATTCGCAACACGACAATTAGTTGTATATATGGAGACAATGCAGAGCATCATGCCAATAACATAGGAAAATATGCAACACTTCGGGATCATCACTAACACTTCATATGAATAATAATTAGGAGTAGGAAATATGTACAAAGAAAAAAAGGATTAAAGGTTCAGTGAAAACTACTCAGCAAAATGAATGTCCAACTTATGTACAACGCATTAGTCTTTGATCTAGCTCAACTGTGTTAAAAGCCCTTAACAATCTCTTTTCGTCAGTCTTGTCTTGTTATCTTGTAATGGAAATGACTATAGTAAGTTAGCAACTATCTCAACTCATCTAACCACATTATCCATGAAACCTGATATACCCTATAATGATGACAGTTTTCGAATCTCAATCTCATTACGCGGTAGTAAGAACAACGGCTGAGCCAGGAATGTCTGAAATTCAAATTTGGAAGGGGAGGGGCGGGGGGTAATTCATTCATATTACTTTTTTTCCAAAAAATAAGTGTAGAAAGATAAATTTACCAAATCTGGGATGAGCCAAACCTGAATTACCCCTCTCCTCTCTAACCGCTTTGTAAGAACTAAGAAGTATGGGACATGAAGGGCACACAAGGTAAAACTTTGCCACTGTTTTTTTGCAAAAATAATGCTAGGGGACATCGGATGTTGACTTTTTAAGAAGATATTCTTAGATGGACACATTAGTTGAGAGATGAAAAGTTAAGCATGCGATCATCGTCCAATAAATGTACGAGTGTAAGATGCATAGGAAATTAGGAACCTCTCTTTAAAATGTCCACAGTTAATGTTCCCTTGGCCTTAATTTTAGACAATTAAAAAATTCAATGCCACCTAACAAGTTAGGTTTAAGGCCGTGGTGATGATGATTATATTATGATCATAACCAGTCTCCTGAGGTGTCTTTTAATCTGTAATAGTTTACAATATAGTTGTTGAAACATTAACAGAGGTGGGATTTAGGGGTGCGGTAAAGAACTTACGTTATCTTGGTCAGCTTCCCTGATCATATCTTCTAGACGCGCATCCTCAATGCCAAACTCTTCACAAGCTTGTTGAAGCTCATCAGCGGTGATATAGCCACTTCCATCCTTATCAAAATAAGAGAAAGCAGCAAACAGATGATCCTCTCTCTCGATTTTGTTGAAATGTAATGTTGCTGCAACAAACTCGCCATAATCAATTGTTCCACTGTTATCTACATCTGCCTGCACAAATACAAGTAGGATGTGATGTAGTTTGATCCCAGGAATGATATCAGCAATTGCTCTGTAATGGAATGTGTAGCCTTAAATAAGTATACTGTATACATGAACTAATTATATATAGGGGTGGCAAATGGATTGTTTTGATAAAAAAAATCTTCGGTGCATAATGACAGAATTAAAAAGAATAAATTTATGATCCATTAAGACTTCATATCCAATCCATCAATTAATAATTTTTCCGAGGATGGATATCTAATCCCTCCATTTTTATTGATTTCTATTTTATGTGTAGATATGATTGACCACACATATATCTTACTATAGCAAAGATATAGAAACCAAAAGATAAATAAACCATTAATAGATGTATAAAAAGCAATGGGACTGATGAATTTAAGTTTGTTTTACGTGATCATATAGATTTTAGATTGTATCCAATCCATTATCATTAATTTTTTTAATGGAAGGACTAGATGGATGCGATGTTGATATGGTTCTACTTTAAAACATGATAGCTAAACTCACTCCAAAATTTGGTGGAGATATACTACTTACAGCTTGCATTAGATCATAGATCTCAGATTCATTGAGATTTGCACCAACTCTTTTTAATCCGGCTTTAAGCTCCTCAAAAGTAATTTGCCCGCTATTGTCAGAATCTATCATCTTAAACATTTCTTTCAAACCCGCGATTTCTTCTTCCGATAAGCTTTCTGCAATGACCTGCACAAGACAAATAAATGACCAACCCATCGCATGAACAAAAATTAAAAGATTTTGGGTTGAAGAGCTAAAGAGCCTGCTTGGGAACCATAAATCAGGGAACTAAAAGAGGAAGGAAAATGAGGGGGGAGATTTGGAAGGAAAGATAATATACAAGGAAAAAGGAAACGTAAAACTGGTTCAAACTTCATAAATCAATTTAGATATTGTTCAAACCATGGTTGTCAAGATCCAGATCTAAATCTCAAGATCCCACAATTATATGATCTGTTTCTGCCACTGCATGAAGATCGGTCACTCGATCTCAAATGGGTGAAGTTCGAAGTGGATATTGGTTTTTCTGGTGCATCCTAACATTTGCAATGTGATTCGACCTTTGGATCATAATTGGGTACTAATGAACTACTACGTATATGTTCATGGGATTACATTATTCAAATAAAACTAGACACAATGTCCATTAGAAACCAATTTGTTTCTCTATTAATTAGTGGCAACATAGCCAAATGTTTACGTGATCTTGTTTCTTGTTTCTATGGAACTCTACACAGGGTAATGGTGCATGGATATGTGTACACATCTAGATATGTTCTTACTCTCAAAGCCATTTTCTTGAGCTTGTTCATTGCAGAGAATTGCTTCATTCGACTCAAAACTGCAGAATCTAAAGGCTTGTCGGGAGCAACACCACCAACTTGAACCCAAGGATGGCCTGCAAAAAAGGTTTTAAAAACAATCTTCTCACAAAAACTCCAATATGCAATTTGGAATACAAGACTACAAGTACAGAATGGGGAAGAATGTAGAGCACAAAACTATGAGTATATTAATAAATTGAACCCCCTCAGCCCCTCCATCCCAAAAAAGAGTGATGCTTCAAAAAAAATCCATAGAGGAACTAATTTTTCATGTAATTTCAAAAAGGAAAAAATATATATCTTACTAATAAAGTCAATATGAAAAATGCAGTCAACAAATATAGATAATCTTATAATACAAGAAGCACTCCATGAGTTTTAAGTGCTGTGTGTTGCCAAAACTTAAAAGTTGTATCTTGAAAAACAAGCATCAAGATGGGTTCCATCCTAAATATGTCTTGATAGGAGTAGGTTCTTTGCTAGTCATATTGGTATGACAGATTCATGTCTTGTATAAATCCTTATGTACCCTTTTTTACAATAACTTAATGAATATCACAACTTCTAAGCCGGATTTTTTGTATAACACTGGATACAAAAGATACATTTTATGAAATTGGACATCAACAAATCTAGTTTCTCTTTCCAAGTACTTATCAATTGATAAACAACAAGGTAATAAAAACAACTAAATGAAAAGCTACTCACATAGAACTTCATGTGCAGTCAAACGCTTTCTTGGGTCTCGTATAAGCATTTTCCTAACCAAGTCTTTAGCACCTTCTGATATGCTAGGCCATGGGTCAGATGTGAAGTCAAGTTCACCATGTAACACTTCTTGAAATATTTCTTTCTCAGTTTCTGTATAATTTATAGAATGGAGAAGAGTTATATGGTGCACTGATATGAAATGGATGAAGTCAAACATATAATTGTACCAATGATGGAAGATAATATATTATTAATATTTATATATATGGTTTACTATTATTTATCATGAAAATAAATGATGAATAATATATTCTCATGAAAATAAATAACTTGTTTACTGCAATATGTCATAATTATATACGTGGTACGTTGTTAGATAGACTGTTAGAGCCGGTTATAAGTTTGTTCTTATTGTTGTGGCTTTGGTTTAGTTAGTTGAGCTGTCAGCTTATAAATACCCTGTACTCACTTTCAATATTGAATAAGACAAGTTCGTTATATCTCAATATTCTTCCATCTGCTTAGTTTCTATTATGGTATCAGAGCTTCGCTCGATCCATTAATGGCGATCACGACGGAAACCTCATCCAATTCTTCTACCTCAACTGGAGCATCTGTATCTACAGTCACCTTCACGCATCCTCTCCCTGTAAAACTTGATTCTAACAACTTCCTTTTCTGGAAACATCACGTCGAATCAGTTGTACGAGCACACAAACTACTTCGGTTTCTTGTCAAACCTGTTATTCCAGATCGTTTTGCCAGTCGCGATGATGAAACTAATGGAATCGAGAATGATGCGTACATCACCTGGGAACAACAAGACCAGATGTTGTTTTCGTGGCTCCTTGCGTCATTATCTGAGCCGTTTCAAGCTCGCGTCATTCATTGCAAACATTCGCACCAGCTTTGGACTGAAATCAACAAACATTTTCAATCACACATCTTAGCAAAAGCAAGGCAACTGAAGTTGGAATTATACAACACAACAAAAGGTGACAGATCAATCTCAGATTATCTTCTTCGTATTCAAACTATCGCAAATAACCTCAGTGCTATTGGAGAGCCGATTTCCTCCAAGGATCACATCAATGTAATCCTTGAAGGTCTTCCTGAAGAATACGAATCTCTTGCATCATCTATTTCTTCGCGAAATGTTCTAGATCCTCCAACTCTATCTGAAGTTGAATCCCTACTGTCTGCCAAAGAAATGCGACTGCAAAAGCTTCGAGATTCTTCGCAACAAACACTATTATCTGCTAATGTTGCTCGCCTGGAAATATCTCCTCAAGTTACTTATCAAGCTTCTCAAACTCCTTCAGATAATGCTTCTGTTCAGGTAGCTCAATTTAATAATCCTGACAATCATTCCTATAGAGGTACAGGTCGTGGACACTTTGGAAAAGGTCGTGGTCGCTCTGGTGGAAGAAATTCTATAGTTTGCCAAGTTTGCGGGAAAACTGGTCATCATGCATTGATCTGTTACCATCGCTATAATCCAGCCTACAATGCTCCTCATACTCCTCCTTCCTCAAACCAATGGAACCAGCACTCTTAGTACTCACAGTACTCAGTCACAAGCAACTTTCCCCAGTTCCCAGGCTTCATCGCGAGCCGATTCTCTCAGTTCGGGTCAAAGTACGAATCCATCTAGAAGAGAATCTCTCAGTTTTCAGACGACAGCTAACAAAGCTGAGGTATCCAGGAATCAAAGACATAGTCGAGTTGGAAGAGAGATAGAGCTGTCTCTAGTCAATGGCATTTCTTGTGATCATAGCGAAAGGGGAATGCATTCAGATTCCAGTATATATATATAGGCCTAGGCGCCCGCCTAGTCGCTAGGCGGTGGCCGGGCGCCCCGATTTTGCTCTAATCGGTGGGAAAAATCGTTTCGGAGCCTAGGCGAGCTAGGCGGGCGCCTAGTCAGCTAGGCGGGCGACTAGGCGGGCTAGGCGGGCGACTAGGCAGGCTAGGCAGTGGCTAAACGGCCTGGACTTAAAAAAATTTCGAACCAACTTTTTTCCCGTTTTATCTTAAAATATCGTGTGATCAAGAAGTATTCTATTCCTATATAATTTATTTTCATATTCTCACAATAAAAAAATAATTTTAAAATATAATAAACTTTTTATAATGTATTTTAAGATTTTAAGAGAGTAAAAAACACAAATATCTTAATTTATTTATTAATTATTTTATTATTGATGATTCTACTATAAAAAAAAATTAACATCTAATGATTATATGAGCTATTTCTATTTTCAAAATATTATAAAATTATTAGTAATGTAATTAAAATTCAAAGCAAATAAAAAGAAAACAAAAACTGATGGAAAAATACCTAGGCGACCTAGTCGGCGCCTAGGCAGGCTAGGCGCTAGGCGGCCCGTCACCGCCCTACTAGCGCCTAGCGCCTTTTAAAACATTGATATATATATATATATATATATATATATATATATATATATATATATATATATATATATATATATATGTGTGTGTGTGTGATAGATGAAGAAAACAAATCACCATCAGGTCCCTCTATGACACCAGCCAGTGAGGGTAAATCAAAGTCTGAAAAAAGGAGGACAAAATTGAAATGCAAAACCAAAATAATTCCTCTGCGGGCTTTGATAGTTTGAGCTATGTTCACGATTATAATTCTGAACTTATGAAAGTAACGAACAATAGTGATGCTGAAAAGATACTGCACCACTATCATATCACATAAGACGAATTAGAGGTCCATGGTTGTCTTGGTATGGATTATAATCAGTACTTTGGTGGTAGTGTGATGTACTGGAATTCTTTTGACTCTATTCAACAGTTCTTAACTATTGGGACCACAGATGGTATGCTGAAAGCAGTTGGAGGGAACAACATGGAAGGCCTTATGGTATGGGAGCTGGAGAACAAACACTTGTCTTCTATATTAAAAAAGAAGTCAAACATACCCACATTCTCTGCTATCTGTGGCACTCATTACATGTTTTTGAGGAAAGAATATGATTATGTGTCTGTTGAAATACGATGCCGGGAAAAGACAGGTTGTACATTTGTATAGACAGGGTTCTAATGGAGACTGCCTGGATGCTTCAACTCATGGTCATGGGATGATTGAGCAAGAGGTATGAATATAGGAAGCTGCTGGGGTCGGATACTTCACTGGCACGTTTGATAGCCCCTTGGAGTCTTACCTTGATAGTTCCAAACAGTTCCCTGTAATGAACTTCACTCCAGAAATACTGCTAATATTGACACAGGGTATGGGAAAACATGTGGTTGTGCTTGACCATCAGATGCATATGATTGTGGACATGTTTGATTCATTGCTTTCACCTTCCAATCTCCGTTTTCGCCTTGTCTGATGGAAGTTTCAGCATGAAATTGCATGACCAACCAACCCCAATGAGTTTTCCAATACTCAAAACATTCCAACTGGAAACACCAGAGATAACTCAATTACTCAAATACAAGCACAACATGGTAGTACCACCTTTGATGGGACTCTATATAAACCAGATGAAGCAACGTCGGGACCTCTGCCATATAAAACTATGATTCATGTATATGGGGTCCTGGTGTCCAACTTATCAGTGACTCAAGGGCAAACACAATTGACATGAAAGCTCAGTTTCTAAGGAGTTTAGGTATCTTAGTTGGGAAGCTCAAGGTTACAGGGGGGCCTTTGCTAGTGAATTGTGGGAAAGGTGTCCGCAGTGGGGTTTATGTGTTGGAACGAAGTGGTCCAACTGTAATTGTTGTAGTAATGGTTTCAGATTCTGATACCCATGAGAGCTTCTGGATACACAAAATTCAGACTGCAAATCTTCTCCGTCAGGTGTTGCAGCACTGTAGTCAGATAAATGAGCATTCAAAGCTTCCTATGTTGAGAAAGGCTACATGGACTGTGTCAAAACTCTGTCGAAGCAAGCCGCTCTGTGATCTCTTGATATATCCAGATCCAAGAATGGCTATTGTGTGCCTGAAAGGGCTAGAGAACATTCTGAAAGTAGGTGAGACAGACAAAGAAAAGGGATTGAATGGTGGGGTCAAGTTATATGCGCAGATGGTTGAAGATTATGAAGGACTAGACAAGGCTGCTAATTTCCAGATTCGGGACAACAATGAGATCTATGAAAAGGCTGTGAAGACCTTAGAGAAATGCTGGTATGAGGAAGTGAGGATGAAGGGTCAAGTGATAAAGCTAAAGATACAGAAATCAGTAATGTATTGGGAAGGGAGAGGTGCAAGAATGAAGATGATGGTCAGGGCCGTTTCCTATCACCCACCTTGAGGACAAGGTGGTTGTCTAAGGGGGGAGATATGATAGGAACCGAGCTAATAATAATAATAATAACAATAATAATATAAATAATAATAATTGTACGTGTAGGATAAATAGAAGGGGGGGAGGGGGGGGAATAAGGGTCAGCTGGAATTCTGTAGAATTGGGCTGGGAGAGCGGGACCTCTCGAAGAGTCCCAACTATCTGTTTCTTCTCTTTCTTACGATTTCCGCATTTGTAACTCTGTGATCTTCATCAATGTACTGATTTCTGCTGTTTAGGTTGAGTCTCTATCAGTTTCAAAGGCAATGAAATAAAAAAGTCTTATATCAGACTTCTTTTAAAACTCTGATGTTCTTTCCAGAAACTGAAAACATAAACACTACTGATATCACACATATTTTCTTCTTTCTATTTTCAGAAATGTAATAAAAAAGTAAAAGATAAAAAAGACTTTTCAAAAGGACACCTTAACTAAGTAAGTCAAGTAACAAAAACCTTACCGGCCCAAAAAGGAGGGACTCCACTTAGTAAAATGTAAACTATTACACCAGCACTCCAAACATCAGCTTCTGCACCATACCTCTTTCTTAGAACTTCTGGTGCAACATAATAAGGACTGCCAACAACATCACTAACTCTTTCACCTGAAATTGAAAGTCGAAAATAGTATGAAAACAATCAAAGTTCATTTGAGACTCCAAGTTGTAAATCAGACAGCACTACGTTTTTGAGCTAAATAGCATACTTCTTACTTATTATGGTGCTACCTATCTATAAAAAGAAGTGTTTCACAAATGCCTCTTCATTAGACTTCAAGGGTGATACATATAGCAAGATCGTAAGAGTTAAGACTCCACTTGGGATGGAGGTCTTTGAAGGGGTAAGTTTAAATGTTGATCTCTTGATATATATTTGAGGTTTTATAAAACTGAAGAGCGAATATCATAGGTGATCATTTATCATCCATTTATTCATTGAAGACTTGCAGGAACCTAGAAATATTATATTTATCACGATATAAACAAAGGCCTCCAGTAGGCCTCCACACACTTCCACTCTAAAACCTAACAAAATCCTTCATCCTAAGGCTATATTTGGAGCCCCCAAAAATGCTAGGGAAAGGAAAGAAAAGGCTAAGAAAAGTTACTTTCTTATGTTTGGTTTTCCCTCAGAAATGCCATGTAAAACAAAACATAATAAATATTTCTATTTTTTCAATATGTTTAGATTTCTTAGTATTTATATAAAATAAATAAACTTGATAATGAATTTGTACAATAATAAACATAAATCAAATGAATTTTATCCCACAAAAAAATCAAATGAATTTTATCCAATGTTACTTTTCTTAACATTTTCTTTAACTGGCATTTTCTGAGTTCCAAATGGACCCTACCTAGAGGGAGAAACTTAAACCTTATGAAGTATGAACTCAGCAAAAATTAAAAATATCATTTTATAAAATATATCTACTATAGTAAATACAAGGAAATGAATACCTGGTTTGAAGAATATAGACAACCCAAAGTCGATTGTTTTGAGAAGGGAATCTTCATGCTTATCCACAAAGAGAAAATTCTCAGGTTTCAAATCACGGTGCATCACCCCTAAGGAATGACAGGCTTCTACAACCCCAACAATTGTCCTAGTCAGCTCGGCTGCCTGTCGCTCAGTATAATGACCCCGCTGTGTAATCCTGTCAAATAGCTCCCCGCCTGCACAATATTCCATCACGACATGAACTGCAATAGCATCCTCATAAGCCCCTTTGATCGATATAACGTTCGGGTGTCCCGCCAAGTGGTGCATTATCTGAATTTCTCTTCGAACGTCTTCTACGTCATCGTCCGTCAAGAGCTTCCTCTTGGCTATGGATTTGCAAGCATATTGCTTACCAGTTTCTTTTTCCACGCAAAGAAATGTAACCCCAAACTGCCCCTGACCTAATTTCTTCCCTATACTGAAGAACTCCTTCAAGTTTCCAGTTTTATTGTTTAAGACGTCAGTTCTTAGCCCTGCACTGGGTATCCTCTTTATGTGGGCCGGCTTCTTGGCATTAGCATGCTGTTTCTCCTCCACATCAGGGCTGGGATTTATCGTATGTTCTGCCGGTTTACTTTGCGTTGGCTCGGGTTCTTGACCAGAACGTTTTGTTGCGGTTCCGGAACTGCCCTTGTTACTGGTGGGAGGGGCCGCCGGGTCAGGTTTGGGCATTATCAGATGTTCTGGCGGCTTACTTTGAACCATCATAGGTGACTCGGGTTCTCTATGGGAACCTCGAGTTTCAGTTAGGAAACTGTCTTCATTACCAGTGGGAGAAAGGTTATCCGCGGATCGGGATGGCCACATAGCAGCTGAAACCGATTGAAAGAATCCATTTCTGGAAATTTTTGGCCCCACACAAGTATTACCCATCTACTCAAACACTCACTCCTACAAATCCCAAACACTTCCAAACCCTTAAAAAGGAATTACAATTACTAAATTTTACCCAAAAAGCCAATTTACAGAATTACAATTCAGGCTTTCTGAAGCATAACTTTATAGTTTCCGAGAATGATCAACCCCCAAGAACCAAAAGAGTATCTTATACAATCGGAGTTAACAGCTAAGTAAATTTATACTGTCTAAACCATCAAAACAAGAACGCCAAGTGAAAATAACCAAGATATGTAACAACACCAGGAAAAACTAAGATGAATCTGTCAAGTGCAGAGCAGAGAGAAATGACAACCTCTGCAGAGTCATATACACAAAGACTTGAGCTTTGAAATCTTTATTCAGCAGATTTCCATGCTTCAGTTCCAGGTGGAGGGTCAACGCGCTCCCAATCCCAAGTGGCTACTAGAACACGAGAAGCAAAAACTTTGAATACTTGTTGATGATGAATCGAGCATAGCAAAGGTGAGACCAGGTCCAGAGGCATTCTTTCATAGGGGGTGTAGTTTAGTTAAATGCAAATAAGCCATATTTACTTCCTGTAATTGGTCCTTTTCTTTACCATATTACGGAGTATTACGTACTGTGCGCGTTTTGAGGATTGGTTTTGGGGGATATCATAAACACGGAAAACGCGTTGGTCGGCGTTTCTGTGAAGGTATGTATTGAGAGTTTTGATGTCATTTTCACGTCAACGTTTTAGCATTTAGATGGGCCTGTGGACCCAACTTATTAAACCTCCCAAAACCCAATCCGTAGGATATGTTTGGGAGTTGAGTTTTGAAAGTGAGAGCATACTTGATTTTTCCTTTCAAATTTGGGAGTTAAAAAATATGGAGGAAATGATTTTGAAGGGTTTTTGTAAGGGTGAATTCCCTAAATAGGAGTAAAATAGTTTTAAAGTTCCAAAATAGGAGTATCATGTTTTTTATTCCTTGAATAGAGTAAATTTTTGCCAAGTTTGGCATTACTAGGTTTTAAAATATGACATTTTTTTCCAAACTTGACAGACAACTCCTATTCAGGGAATAAAAAACATGATACTCCTATTTTGGAATTTCAAAACGTTTTTGCTCCTATTTAGAGCAATTTCTATTTTTGTAACCCTCAAACCCTTTCAAATTCTTAATTTTCAAATTCCCTCAAATTGGGAGATTTTGAAGTATAACTAATTAAATGACAATTTTAGCTCAATTTTAAATAAATATAAACTCAATTGTTTGTATTCGTCATATATGTGAAGTGATTTTAATTATAATTTATTCAAAACCTTTATCTTTTCAAACTTGATACTCTCAAACAATAAGAAGAGTTTCCAACTCTTTCACTCTCCTTCCCTTCCAATGACTTACCTCCAAAACTTTCTTCTCCACTTCCCTTCAAACTCTCAAACATACCCTTAATGTCTTTAATTAATGGAAAAAAGTGTTGGTACACACTTTTTGTACACATCTTGTGTACATCATTTCTAGTTGTTTGTCCCAAGTTTGTTAAAATCTCGATTTAAATCGTAAAACCGTACGATTTTACAATTCTACACTAATAAATAGGTTCAAATCGCAGGTAAAATCGTAAAATAATAAAATCGTACAAAATCGTACAAAAATCGTGTAGAATCATTTAAATCGTAACAAAATTGTAGCAAAATCGTAATAAGTATTTTTTAGTGAAAATGGTTCAAATTTATTAAAACTAACTACTACAAATTGATACATAATTACAACAACAATAATAATATCAATAGTATATTTTAAAAAGTAATGGATTCTTGTGTTATTTAATTATTTTTATGTTTTACATATGTTTAATGTTACTATTCACTACATTTACATTTTTTGAATCTTGTAGGTATAGTTTTATGTAATGAAATGATATAATATCATTAACTTGCAGCTTAATTTATTTATTTTATAATTATAAGATATTTTTGATAAAATCTTACGATTTGCGATTCGATTTTACGATTCAATTTTCAAAAACATCTACCGATTCTATTCAAAAATAAGATTTTAACAACCTTGGTCTGTCTCTGTCCACACAGGCAATTCGTGAAGAAGTTGCCCCTCTAGACATACAACTAGGGAGGGTGTACACAAGATGCGTACAAAAAGTGTGTACACCAAGCAACACTCTTAATAAATTTGACATGCACTTGTCGTTAGGTGCACTCAAAATAAATACAATACAACACTAATGCGTAGTATAGTGTAGTAAGGTTCGTATCCACAGGGGAAGGAATACTTTTCTTTTAAATAAATAGTAACAAAAGGGGGTTTTAGATTTGTTTGCTTTAAAAACACTAAGATAAACAACCTATATGAGTTTAATTCAATGAGATGAAGACTTGGTTTTGCTTTTATCCACTTAATGAAATGTTCGTCGATCCCGGTTATATCTTTAACTATCTTCCTCTCGAATACTCAATCGAGGAGTATATCCAGTCTATCAAGGGTAGTTATTAATAACGAGATGCGTTCATTAATAAAACTTACTATCGAGACAATATAGAACAAGCGCCGTATATTAACTTGATAGTAGCAATAAACTTAAGATGAAAACGATTGAGATTGATAACCTCAACACAAGCGGTTTATTGGTTTAATCAATATAATTAATTCCCCTTGGCATATTAACCATGAGATGCATGCATTAATATTCCAAGTTTACTATCGTTGAAAGAACCGGATTAATAACAAGCGTATTAACCGATTGATTCTAGTAATAATTAATATGAGAAACAATACTAGTTGATACTTTAAGTGATGTTTAATATATTAACATGAAATATGAATATGAATTAATTAATACTCAAGGAAGAATATTAAAATATATGAATCCTACTATGATTAATATCAAGATGTTAACTAATTGTCATCTTAGTAACACTCCCCAATATTATCATAGAGGAAGAAATAGCCATTACTATAACCAATGTCAAGATGTTAACTAATTGTCATCTTAGTAACACTCCCCAGCTTTGATATAGAGATAGTATTTTAAAAGAAAGAATTAATATTCAAGGAAGAAGATTAAAGAAAATAACTCACAACTTACAAATTCATTAAGCTTCAAAGTAGCAAAACCAAGATGGAAGAGTTTAGCTCCTCATTTGGAGACTAAACATGATGAAAAATATAAAGAAAGAGCTATTCTATACTGAGCTTAGATGTACAAAGGAATTGGATATCTTATTGTGAAGGAAAGGAGGTGTATTTATAGGTTTTTGGGATGGGGTTCGGGTACTCGATCGGGTATATACATGGTACCCGATCGAGTACGTGTGTAACACTCGATCCGAGGCATACTCGACCAGTTTCAGGCTATTTTCTAAGAGTATACCCGATCGAGTATATATGAATACCCGGTCGAGTATGCTTAGAAAATGGTATTCGGACCATACTCGACCGATCTTCGTTTGAAATTCAAAGGCATACTCGATCGGGTATGTCGGTCTACCCGATCGGGTATAGACATAAAATCGTGGCCGAAATCTTCCCTGCATGTTCCCTTGTCTTCGGATCTGATCCGATTTGAAGTTCCAACCTAATACCCGATCGAGTATAGCTAATACTCGACCGAGTATAGACCAAAATTCAGGATCTTCTTTTGTCTTTGAACTTTTGCACCTTCTTTTCACTTTTTGGGTTCACCAACTGTACTTCGAGTGACCAAAACCTGCTTGAGCTCAGAATATATCTAATCTAACCTGTTTACAAGAATTTAACAATCTAATCTATTACACCAAAAGTGTGTAATTTCCAAAGTAAAAGTCAAGCAAAACTAATTAAAAACATAAACATAAATATGGAAATTACGAACGTATCAACTCCCCCACACTTAAACCTTTACTCGTCTCGAGTAAGATCAAATGTTTACAAGTGTCAATGTTTGTCCAAAAGTTCCACAGTTCAACAAAAATACAATACAAACACAAAGACCACCAAGGATGACAAAGAAAAATGAGTTTTAAACTCAAATTACAAAAGAGCATCTTGGGTTTAATGGTCTCCTAGTGTTATCTTCTTTTCTCCTCCTCTCTTCTTCTTTTATCTTGAATCTTCTTATTCTTCACAAGGATACAATGAGTGCCTGCAAGAACAAACATTTCTCTCATATCTCTCATTTTGCCTAGGAGCCTTTTCAGGTTTTCATCCTAGCACCTCTTTTCATTTTCCATTCTCTCCAACTCACTCATTTTTTTATAAGCCTTTTTTGCTTAGATTGCCCATTTTGTTGGGTTTTCAACCTAACTAGCATTTATTTTCTTTTGTTTATTTTTTCTTTATTTTTTTGTTTTGTGTTTTTTTGTGTAAAAGTTCAAAAGAATTACATGCATAGTGCTATGTAGAAATGAAAATTACATACCATCATGAGTGTCTCCCCCGCACTTGAATCAAGCACTGTCCCTAGTGCCCGCCTTCTCCTCCGTAGTAGCTCCCTCCGAAGCCGCTCCCTTGGCCACCATCTCCCATGTAGGTGTCCCCGCCATCTACGCCGTCGTACCCTCCACCCTCGGAGCCAGATCCTCCAAAGTTACCCCAATGAGTGGGGTCATACCACGAGGGTGGTGGAGGGGGGTTCGCCATGGTATGGAAGGATCCCTGCTGTGCCATATAAGAGTACATAGGTCCGTAGAACCTATGTTGGTCTTCCTCATACCGATGTCTATCGGCCTCCCTGAGCTCCTCCAATCGCTGAAAACCTGCTCTTTGCTCATCCTCTAACCGCTGAAAACCGGCTCTTTTCTCCTCCTCTAATCGGTTGAGCCGGTTGTCCATTTGGGCTATTCCCGTAAGCAGTTGTTGACCCTCCAGAAGTTGTTGAAAGAAGTCGGGTGGTGGAGGGTTTTGGCTCTGTTCTGGGATGTCCTGGCTCATGTTGTGATGGCTATGGAGTTGAGCATAGGGCTCGTAATCGGGTTGGTGTTGGGGAGGTTCTTGTTCTGGTTCCTGGAGATGTGGTGGAAGGGCGTGTGGGAAGAGGTAATGTTGCTCCGCTCTTCCTGTTTTGTAGTGGAGTTGGGGGAGTTCTGGGTTGGGAAGGAGGAAGTATTTGAGGGGTTTGGGGTGGATGTGCCAGTTGTACATATTTCTGGGCCCTTCGTCACCATAAACGGTGTGTGAAAAAGATGTACAACCCGAGTGGCCCAGCCAAGCAATGTTCATCAAACAGTAGTCGGGTATAGGAGAGTTATCCGTATACCCGAACTTTGTGGCCAAATGCATAATCACCCCGCCCACTACAATAGCACCCTTTGCCACGCTTTCTTTTTTGAGATGTGCCCACATAAGATTACATAGGTTGAAATCTACGTGGATACGGAATAGGGCTACCGATATCAGGCACACATCCCCCATCCTAGTGTGATGGTTGTTGGGACGTCCAAGTAAGGAGTTGGCGAGGAATTTCAAAAATAGGCGGAGGACGGGATGTTGGACATGACTAATATAGAGTTGGGAGGAGCTAAATTTAGTCTCCCCGGTCATCTTTGTCCATAGGGTATGGACGAAGGCGGTATTGTCGGATATAGATTTTTGGTACGGGACCGGAATACCAAAGTGTTCGGCGAACTCAAGTTTCGTGATGGTGTGGTTGTGGTTAAACAATCGAAACCTGAGTTTATCATCCCTAAAATCCTCTTCATTGTTCTCAAA